TGCTGTTTGGTGCAACCCACATTCGCACGTGGGCAACGTGGTGCCCAAAACTTCGCAAACGGTTTGCGCATGCTCCTGACTCAAACAAAGCGCGCGAGACTCTACGCATGTGGAAGGAGCTAAGATCTATGTCCGAATACACCGCGTCATTCTTGACGTTGGTGGACCGATGTAGCTACATGCACGAGTTGGAGAAGGTTGACAGGTACATGGGCGGGCTGAAGCCTGAGATACAGTACCAGATAAAACTCCAATGCCCTGCGAAGCGGTTACAAGATTTTATCCAACTCGCCGAAGCCACCGATTCGCTCACGAAGCCGAGGACGAACTTCTACGACGGAGGTCGCCCTCGAGAACAGTACCAGCGCGCCACGATAAAAGGGATGGACGAGTGGATATTTACGCTGTTTCTCCGCGAAATACGGGGCCATGCTACCACTGTGGCCGACCGGGTCACATCCGACGCAACTGCCCAGAAATCATAGCCACTGAGAATTCTATGGGGAAGAAGCCGGAGGAGCGACCGGGAAATGGGTCGCGTCAGTAAGTACCGGGCCCTTTACTAACGGACAGGCTTCTTCGCCCGAGCCACACAGTCCCCTCTGAGTCGTGATCCCGATTGCTGCAATCGACCGGACCCGGACGAATAAGGGGGACGAAACTGCTTATCACCCTGTGTTGGGAGGGTAAAGTCAACGGGGTGTTGCTGAAAATATTCGTGGATGGAGGCGCGAGTCACAGTCTCATACAACTGGACAGGGCTAAAAAATTGGGTATTCCCTAACTTAGGTGTCTACCCGAAATTGACGCCCGACTGGTGGATGGAACACCGCTGGCTATACGGGAACGAGTGGAGAACGTCAGTTTTCACTGCGGGGAGCACGTAAAATTTCGGATGGGGCTGCTGGCGACTACACTCGACGGGTGCGACGTGCTGCTGGGACGGGATTGGCTGCGATAGTACAACCCGAAGATCGACTGGACGACGGGCGGCTGCAGCATAAAATTGATGGGATTCACCGCGAAATACCGAAATGGACGGGGCCTCACATGCGAAGCACCCAAGTCCATGCAATAACTTTCAAGCGCACGATAAAAGCGGGAGCTGCAGCGTACACCGTTGATCTTCGCGAAGTGACGTCGCCGACAATAGCGGAAGATATCGCGAAGCTGTGCGAAGCCGTTCCTCCGGATTTAGCGGACCTGATTCGAAAATACCCCGAGATTTTCCCGGATGACCTGCCCGCTGGACTTCCGGCGAGCAGACCAGAAGATCATCGAATAGAGTTGGAACCAGGCGCTCAACCAACCGGAACTGGAAGAATTGCAGCAGCAGCTGGATTACCTTCTGACGAAGGGATTTATCCGGCCCAGCACGTCCCCATACGCCGCCCCGATACTATTCACACCAAAAAAGGATGGAGGATTCCGCATGTGCATCGACTACCGTGCGCTCAACAGGATCACAATCAAGTCTCGTTACCTGATCCCGCGAGCTGACAATCTACTCGACCAACTTCGCGGAGCCAAATTCTTCTCGAAAATCAACTTGCAAGGAGGTTACCATAAAATTCGCGTCGCCGCCGAAGATTGTCACAAAACCGTTTTTCGCACCCGCTACGGCAGTTATGAATACCTGGTGATGCCTTTTGGCCTCACGAACGCGCCCTCGACATTCCAGATGACCATGAACGGCATTTTTTGGGAACTCCTGGATAAATGCGTTATTGTCTACCTCGACGACATACTAATCTACAGCCGCAACAGGGAGCAGCACTTAAAGGATCTTGATGCAGTCTTCACACTGCTGCACAAGAATCGCCTAATCACGAAAGGGTCTAAGTCCGACTTTCTTAAGCAGGAGTTGGAGTTTTTGGGCCACATCGTTTCTACCGATGGAGTGAAAATCGACCCCAAGAAAATCAAGACAATACAGGAGTAGAAGCCGCCAACCAACCTCAAGGAGCTGCAAAGTTTTTTAGGTTTCGTCAACTATGTCCGCCGCTTTATCCCAAAGATGGTTGGGTTATCTGCCCCGCTAACCGACTGACTCAAGGCTCACGATTGTTTTTGGTGGGGAGAGAAGTAGCAACCTGCATTTGACCAACTGAAGATCGCCCTCATGTTGCCACCCGTCCTTCGCATCTCCGATCCTGACCGTCCATACGAAGTCATCACCGACGCCAGCGACATCTCCATCGGGGCAGTTCTCCTACAGGATTTCGGCGACGGATTACAGCCGGTCGCTACGAATCACGGAAGCTGCAGGGCGCGGAAAAAAACTATACTGTCTACGACAAGGAAATGCTGGCGATCGTCCACGCGTTCAAGACCTGGCGGTGCTACCTGACAGGCGCTGACGTCACGGTGCGAACTGACCACAAATCCTTACAATACCTGCGCGCCCAACCGAATCTCAACCCACAACAGATCCGATGGCTCGATTTCCTCGAGTTGAATTTCCATTATACCATCACCTACAAATGGGGTGCCAACAATATCGCCGATGCCCAGACCCGACCCACTGCCCATACCGCAGCCATACTAGTCGCCCAGACCAGCCCACTACTTACCAGACTATTTACCCACGGCTACAAGATCGACCCGTTCTTCCGCTCTGCTATTCATCAACAGCACACCACCGCCACCAGACACCATTTTAATAAGCGCGATACTTCCCGCATTTGGGTGCCCGTCTACGACTTACTTCGTACCCTTTTAATACACGAATCCCACGACAACCCTACTTCCGGGCATTTCGGAGTCGACAAAACTACGAAGACGTTGCAGCGCAACTATAATTGGCCGAACATGGCTGACGACGTGCGCAAGTACGTGTCCTCCTGCACCGTCTGCCAAATGATGAAATCCTTTCATCAGCGAGCAGCCGGACTACTACAGCCGTTGGATCCGCCCGAGAGACCTTGGCAACATATCACGATGGACTACGCGACAGGACTGCCAGCCGGTCCCAGCGGAAACGACGCCATTCTCATGGTCGTCGATCGACTCACGAAAATGGCGCATTTCATCGCTTGCCAACAGGCAATTACTGCCAAGCAAACTGCCCAGCTGTTCATCGCCAACATCATTCGAGTGCACGGACTGCCTACCGCGATTATTTCTGATTGATACCCGAAATTCACATCGAATTTATGGCACCACCTGTGGGACCAGTTCGGCACCAAACTACATTTTTCCTCTGCCTACCACCCACAGACCGACGGGCAGACTGAACGAGTCAACCAAATAATGGAGCAGCTCATTCGGAATACCTGTATTGACCCACAGACATGGGAGAAATCCCTTCCGCTACTGGAATTCGCGTATAATAATGCGCCTTCCACCACAACCCATTAGTCCCCTTTCTTCCTTAACTACGGACAGGACCCAGTGGTACTAACTACCCGAAACATCGAGACACCCGTGCCCTGGTCCCAGAAATTTGCTGAAGACATTCTCGCCGCCCGAGAAAAAGCAGCTGAGGCCATCCGGAAAGCCAACCTGGTCGTAAGCCGACAAGCCGATCGCCATCGACGTGACGTCATCTACAAAGTAGGAGATCTAGTCCTCCTCGACACTCGCAATTTGCGGCTGCCAATTCCGAGCAAACTCAAACCCAGATTCTGCGGACCTTTTCAAGTGACAAATATGGTGACACCTGCCACTGCTCACCTCCGACTCCTGGCCAATTGGCGACACCACCCGGCTTTCCACGTCAGCCTGTTACGGCCTTACGTCCCCAGTTTGTCGAACTTGGCACGCCAACGATGTGTACCGCAGCTGACGCCTTTGCAGGAACCGACCACCGAGCCTTTGAAAATTCTCGGTCATCGCGTCACGACACAGCTGAACCGGCGGCTGGTTGATTTTCTCGTCCGCTGGCGCGATCGCACGTTAGAAGATGACAGCTGGATGCCGTTCGCTGAGCTAGAATCACACCCGATTCTAACAGCGTATTATAAGCGTCGGAATGTTTCCGATGCCCGCGGTCTCGTTTAGGAGGGGGGGGGGGGGGGGTAGTGTAAGGAATTTCCATTCCTTACTGAGTCGTGTCAAACATATGTATAACACATATTTGTATAGACTGTATAGGGTCACCTCTTAGAGGGTACAACACTCTTAGGTATATACCCTTGTACTCTCTCTCTATCAACAACACTTACTCAGTTTTTCTTCTCGACAAGTTGTACGCTAGCGCGTACACCTGAACTCTTCGACTCGTCACGTTCGGCCTCAATTGTCGGCCCAACCCTTTCCCGAGTCACGTCCGGCACTGTTGCCACGTTTCCGAACCTACCCACGTTCCGAGTTTATCGCCCTAGCACGCCAATCCCTATATAACCTCGTACCTTCATTGCAATAGCGACCTTGTTTTCTCACGTTATAGTACATTGACACTTCCTATATCATAACAATTTTGCTGCTCGTAACGCTGCACCCAAAACGTGTAACCGCTCGCAGAGTTCTCTATCTCACCACACGCGCCTTTAGGAGTTGGTGCACACCTGCGACTCCAGACCTGGTCAGTTGTTTGACCCCCACGCAGCACATGGCGGCAACTTGCACAGTCGTTGTGTCTTCTTGCTCTCCCCGTGAAATCTCGTTATGTGTAACGAGATCGTTCAATTGGCTGCGAAATGCACGATGGCCGATTGACTGATTCAATTGTTACACTACGACGACGGCGTCAATGTGTGGTGTGGTGGAACCGCCTAGACTTGGGAGGAACCTGATGGCGCTGGTGGTGGTGATGAGGTGCCCCCCTGGTTGGGTGACTGCCCGCGCACAGACTTTTTCGTTTTCCAACAACCAGATCGTTGTTCTTCTTTCCACGATCGCGGTCACCTGAATCTTTCCTCCAACCTCCCCCATCTGGTTCCTGGAAATCAAAGCAGCGACATCCACGAAACCAGCAGCGGCATCCACGAAATACAGCAGTTACTCGCAGACGCTCTTATAGTGCTGCGGGCATTTCGCGAACATCACTGGAGCTCGCTGATAGTCCAAATCCCTTGACCTCATCGGACGCAGGTAGACTCGCCAGCCTGAAAACGAGTCTGCCTGCAGGTCTGCTTCTGAACAGTGAGCAACAAAAGTTGCGGTGTTATCTCGAGGTTGTGATTCATGGAAATGGCTTCTGGTTCAGCAAGGACTCCTTATTTCACAGCAGACGCCTATTGCTGTAGGAAACAGGGTAGTTAGCAGGAGCGGCTGCAGGGATTCTGTCTGAACGATCGTGAGAGAGCGTACGCTTCTTAGCTTCCTACCTGTTAGCTTTGTAGGAGTTTCTCAATGTCTGCTCCCAATGCGCGTCTCTGAGGTACTATCAACGACGATATCGGACTCGTGTTGTCGAGCATCTCTGTAGTTCGGAAAGGGAGGAAGGCGCTCGTAAGAAGCCACAGGTGTAAGGCGTCTAGGGTAATCAAGGATATGGCTCCAGAAAGAAACGGATCTCTGAAGACTTCAAAAGACGCATTTCTAGGTGATTCTTCGGTTTCCCAAAGCCGGACTCTTTCCTGACAGTCGCGGGAAAAAATCAACTGATCTCTCTTTATTGTAAACACCTGCAGGACTATACAAAGGAGCAGATATTTTATTGTTACGATATCTATTCCCGAAACCTGAAGACATAAATCTGGAAGCTTTACTCCCGCTTAAAGGCAGAGACTCCATACCTCGCCCGTCCTCAATTCCAGAGCTTGAATCCTCCGCTGATGCGAGAGATTCGGCCTCGAAACGAGTTCCAGTCCCTATGTTCAACTCCATATTTTCCGCTATCCTCTACTGTTTCGTGGGACTCGCCATGGGCTTCATAAACAAGGTACGAAGCTCGTCATTACCACAGAACCAGTGGTAGGCTTCTGATCAAACTAATTCTCGTCAGTAACAACAATCCATACCAGAATGCGGCCTGAACTCCCTGTCCGCTTTCCTTGCAGGCCGTCTTAATGCAATGGCCCTATTCGAACTCCCTTCTCATGCTACAAATGGCCGCATCCGTAGTCATCGTGTATACCTTGGGGTGCTTGGGCCTGATCGAAATACGACCGTTTGAATGGAGTTCGGCAAGGTCGCTTTCCGGAGTCGTGTTCTTTTACAACGCCAACGTCGCCTTCGCGCTGGCGGCTGTGGAAGCTCTGAGCATTCCAGTGTACCACGTGCTCAAGCGACTCACCCCTGTCATGGTCCTCTGCGCGAAGTTTCTGATCGGGGATGGATCCCCACCTCTGGAGGTCTGCTTGTCAGTGCTCGCCGTGGTTTCAGGTGAATGCTTGAAAGCTATTGCGTCGTGTTCGTGTTTCGTGTATTGTGTTTCCAGCTCCTTCTGACGTTTTTGACACTCTTGTCTCACCAGGTTGCTTTCTTGCTGGAGCGGGCGACCTAAGTTTTGATGCTCGGGGATACCTTTGGGCCATAGTGAGCTGCATGCTTCAAACAGCATACTTGATCCTTGTTGAACGATCAGGTTCACAAAAAGGTAAGAAACGGTCCCCTGTGTTTTTCAGCAAAAGATTCTGAGGGCATGCGTTCGCCTTCTCTGGTTGATCCTTTAGGTGAAGTACCTAGCCTGACACTGCCTTTGTTTTCACAGGTTTTACTACCAACGATCTTTTGGTCTACAATGGCGTCATGTCATTTCCTGTGCTCGCTGTCCTAACCCTAATCACGGGCGAAGCACAGACGTCCATCCCCAGACTCATTGAGCTCTCGTCCGGCCCTGACAGCCTAGGGTTTGCCATTCTCTTTGTGGTGTCCCTAGCTGTCGGGGTCTTACTTAACTACTCCCTCTTCTTCTGTACAATCTCCAATTCTGCCCTCACCACCACAATCATTGGGACTCTGCGAAGTGTCCTGGGCACGGTATGTACACCTCATAGTCAGCAGTGGCAGATGAAACAATATTTGCCATGGCTTCACTGTTCTTGTTGAGCATCATCTGTTCCTGACCTGGTCTTCTGTGATCTCTTGCAGACAATCGGGTTCTTTGTACTTGGCGGTGTAAAGGCCACTCCACTTATTGTAGCAGGTTCTTCAGTCAACACAGTAGGTGGAGTGTGGTACACTTATGCCAAGTACAAGACGAAGAATGCTCAACAGGCAGAAAGGGTTGAGCAAGCGAAAGCCCACACAAGCCCACGAATGCCACAGGAGGAAGTATGAGCAAGGACTGCTGTGGTCCACATGAGCTGAAAGTAAGAGCCACATTTTCTGGACGCTTGAGGTGGTATGGACGGTTGCCAAACCTCTTGACGCACTATACATATCCCCTCGTGTGGCAGGCAACTCCAGGACTGCTCAGTGCAGCTCCATGTAGATACTTGGCTTACAGACATGAAAGTCAACACTGCAGAGTGTTGCACGTGCTGCTTGGCCATTCAATGTATTCTGGTTAGTAAATATTTGTGATGACAAAGATGTTCGGAGCCGTGGCCTATGGGGACTGGGTATTGTGCCAAAACTCTCAGAGAAGTCCCAGCCCAGGGTTTGAGGTTTGGTCAAATCAGGGTTCTATTTATCAAACTTTTTTTGTCTGATCGTCTAATTTGCAAACCCGAAATTGTGGCTTCAGACAGATTTTCAAGAAATCGGAACACTCTACCATGTACTTCATACACAACGTGTCTTCATAATAGGAGCTGCAGTTTCCAGATTCAGAAAATCAGACAAAAATAGTCTGATAAATAGAATCCTGTCAAATGCGCTCTGAGTAAGACAGCTCAAACAATCTGAAGTGGCTGGGTAGGGTGTTGCGTGAGTGGGACACGCCCTAAACGCGATCTGTAAGATTGTGGCTAACATTTCAAAGTCGCAATACAACCAATATGACGTAGATACAGGCACAGGAGGTACTCAAACCTCCCCTCCCCTTCCCCAACCCCCCATCCTCATCTCTCCTCCTCCTTGGGTTGAGCCATCTCATACTTCAGCAGCAGCTCGTCAGTCTCCTTGGCTCCAAACACATGGTACCTGCACACACTCACCACACAGCATCACAGCGACCACATGTCACTTTCAAGGCAACGACAAGAGAGCAAGGAACCCCTACGAACAGACCTCCTCCCAAGCATCAACCCCCTCTTTCCCCAGGCCTTCTCACCTGACTTGTCCATCTTCCAGGCACACTTTGGCCCATTCAGCAGACTCAGGCTAGTGTCGTCCATGGTCTTAGTGCATGTTCCTACGAGCCTCTTCCCAAGCAACCTCTTACCAGACTCGCGCGCTACAGTGTCGCGAATTTTGATGCGAAATGTTTCAGTGCGGTTCTGCAAAGTGCGAAGCAAGGTTCGGCTTCCCGAGATTCAGGGGCATGTTTTAAAACCTCTTTTCAGACGAACATGTTTTCAGACACACGCGAATCTGCACAGAAAAAATTCGACGCAAGCTGTTTTTATGTGGTTGAGAGCGGTGGAACGCAAATATGTAACGGTTTTATTCCGAAAAAGGGTCTTTGGAACACGCTCTAAAGGTCATACGTGAGTCTGGGAAGTGGTTGTCTGGGAAGAGGCTCTTAGGAACACGCTCTTACTCATCACTTTCCATAATGTCTTTCCCCCATCATTTGCTCCCTCCCACCCCCTCTCACCTGCCTTGCCCGTCCTCCAGGCACACTTTGGCCAGCTCAATCTTTCCGGCACTCAGGCTCGTGCTGTCCACGGTCTTACTCAGCACCTTCTGTATCGTTCTCCCCCCCCCATCCCTCCCCCCCCCCACCCCCCCTCACCTGACTTGCCCGTCCTCCAGGCACACTTTAGCCAGCTCAATCTTCTCGGCACTCAGGCTCGTGCTGTCCATGGTCTTGCTCAGCACCTTCAGTGCCAGCTGCACCGCTCCCTCCAGGTCCATCCCTGGGATCGCCTCCCCTCCCGGCCCCTTCTCCTCCTTGTACTCCTGCTTCAGCAGAGACTGCGCCGCGCCGTGATTGGCCCCTATGGCGCACGCACGCCACCCGCCGTAGTTTCCCGAAGGGTCTGAGTGGTACAGCTGGAACTGGTGGTGCTTGTCCCAACCTAAAGGGAGGGTGAAGGAGAGGAAAATGAAAGGGGCGGTAGGGGGGAAATAACAGGGAAACCATAAGGGTGCGAGGGGAAAGGACTACGCACAGCCGCAGTTTGCGGTACTACACCTGCCAAGTCCATCCCTGAAAACGGCCGAGCAAGAAACATACCTGCGAAGAGGAAGGAAACGCCGAAGGGGCGCAGGCCGCCAAACTGTGTGTAGCCCTGCTTGGTGTCGCATAGAGACTGCACCAGCTGCTCCAGAGGAATGGGCTCCTGTTCAAGGGCGAAGGAGAAAAAACAAGAGAAGGGGGAGCGAGGGGTGAGAGAGATAGGGAGTCAGGGGCAGCCCTGCTTGGTGTCGCACAGAGACTGCACCAGCTGCTCCAGAGGAATGGGCTCGTGCTGAAATGGCAAAGGGAGTGGGGGGGGAAGTGGGAAGGGGAACGAGGAATGGATGTCAGGCGCAGCCCTGATTGGTGACGCATAGAGATTGCACCAGATGTACATCTGCACCCACAGCCCGCTGTACATATTCACATTCATACGCACCATGATAAAAACACCGGATAAGTTTTGAGGCGCCTCAAAACTAAACGCTGAACATATTCACATTCATACGCACCATCATAAAAACACCGGATTAGTGTACGAGTATCGCCGGGCAGCGAGCCAAGCAGAATTGCCAACCGTTTTCCCTACCACAAGCAATAACACAACTCTCTACTGATTGGCACTAGATATATACGCACTATAGACACATCTGATAAGCGTAAGAGTATCGCTGGGCTGCGAGCCGAGCAGAGTTGACTAGAATGTTTGCATCATCAGTATTTCCGGCCACAGCAGCAGCCACGTGGTCATCAATTCGGCACATCTTCTCGTTCGTCTTGCTGATCTCCAGGATGCCGATTCATATGTGATTTTTGAGTCGACTAAAAAATCACCTACGATTCATATGAGCTACAAACACACCTGGTACGCATATGAGTATCGCTGGGCCGCAAGCCGAGCAGAATTGACCAGAATGTTTGCATCAGCGGTTATCCCAGCCACAGCAGCAGCCACGTGGTCGTCGATCCGGTACATCTTCTCGTTCGTCTTGCTGCTCTCCAGCAGCTTCGACGTGATGCGCTTTTCAGCCGCCAGAACCACGCCGTCTGTTGCCAGAATGCCTATGGCTGATCCGGCGTGGCTGATCGCCTCCATCGCATATTCCACCTGGATATAGAGGGAGGGAAGGGGGAGGGAATGCGGGGGGTAAATGTGTGGGGAGTGGGGGATTCTATTTTTGAGGCGCCTCAAAAATAGATTCCTCACGCGGGGGGAAAGATGTGTGGGGAGTGGGGGATTTCCTTTTGAGTCGACTCAAAAGAAGGGGGAGGGAATGCGGGGGGTAAATGTGTGGGGAGTGGGGGATTTCAGTCTTGCTGGTCTCCAGCAGCTTCGACGTGATGCGCTTCTCAGCCGCCCGCACCACTCCATCTGTGGCCAGAATGCCTATGGCCGACCCTGTGCGACTGATCGCCTCCATCGCATATTCCACGTGGAAGAAGAGGGAGGGGAGAACACGAGAATCAGAGACGAGTAGTGGGGACGAGGGGAAGAGGCGGGGGCGGAGGGGTGGGGTGGGGTGGGGTGGGGTGGGGTGGGGTGGGAGGGGGAAGAGGGGGAAAGGGGAGCGTGTCGGTCTTGCTGCTCTCCAGCAGCTTCGACGTGATGCGCGTCTCCGCTGCCAGCACCACTCCGTCTGTTGCCAGGATGCCTATGGCTGACCCCGCGTGGCTGATCGCCTCCATCGCATATTCCTCCTGAAGATGGAAGGAGGGAGCGGGGAGGGAGGAGGAGAGGTTGGGGGGGGGGAAGAGGTGGGTTCACAGTCTTTCGACGTGATGCGCGTCTCCGCTGCCAGGACAACACGGTCCGTCGTCAGAATGCCTATGGCTGATCCAGCGTGGCTTATTGCTCCCATCGCGTGCTCTGCCCGGTGAAATTGAATGGGGAAGGAGCATGAGAGGGGAGGAGTGGGGAGAGAGGGGGGTGGGGGGCTGAGGGGGGGAAGGCTGCTCTGTGACAGCCTGGATGTAGTCCTCCTATCTGCTGTCAGTACGGATATGATATCTGAAAATACCAAAGTATATAAGCAAAGCCACTCCGTTTGTTGCCAGGATACCAATGTCCGAACCTAAGCAGCGTGCAGGAATTGAGCAGTATCATATTTCAGTCAGAATTTGACGTCGTCGTTATCCGTCAAGACCTAAACTGGAAACTCCTTGCAGATTCGATTTTCTTTAAACTGATTCGCATCACCCACGAAACTGGATCAGTTGAACGAGATTCGTTCCGCCGAACGAATTTGAACCGTCGGCAGTCTTCAGACTATTGAATCTGAAACTAGCTGATAATACGACGGAAGCACGAAGGCGGATCTACGCAAGCGCCCTTTCACGAATCAAACTGAATCCTTCTAACGAATCCTTTTAACGAATCACTCATTATCGTGGGATCGCCCACCTGGAACAGCCGTCCTTCCGGCGAAAACGTCGTCGTGCGACTGTCATAGCGCCTCGACATGGCGGGCAACGCAACGGCAGCTACGGATGAATCTTATAAAGCGGACGCTGACAGCCCAAAAATAAATCCCAATTCCAATCTTAATCTCAAGCTCTCTGGTTTCAGGCCTCAGCACAAGGGGTCGCCCTCCTGTCTAGGGACTCCGCGCGGCTTCAGCTGACACACAGGAGGGAGACACGAGCACCGTGGAGGGAGCATACAATAAACGAGCGGGATTCGCTAAAACGCAGTCTTCGGAATCCCACTGACGATTTGGCCTTCTGCTGCTGTATGTGCTCCGAGGAGGCAAGTCGAGGCGAGGGGAGATGTGGTGATAGATATTACCAGCAGGAGCCATAAAATCCGCGTTTATGTCAGCCCTAATGTTGTAAAGAAGGCCGGTAAGAGGAATTGACATACACAAAACGAAACAAAGTCGTTTTGAGAAGAGGAGGTAGATTTTTGCCGTGAACTTACAGATATGTTCCTTCTATGACAAAGAAACGAAAGAATATTGGAAACAATATTGGAGTATACAATGTCCCCTCAAAACAATATGTTTATCTGGATTAGTCCTAGGTTAATGTTTATACAAAGAGCAGTTCATAATTCATCGGCCTCTTTCTGTAACAAGCTTTTCACCGGCACCTTCTTCACCTCCCCATCATGAATCCTCGTCCAGCTTCCCGCCCCTCCCGCCGCCCGCGCCGCCTGAAGCTCCGCAAGCAAAGCCGCAGCCCTGCTCCCTTGCTTATCCACCCCCCCCATTCTCCTACTACCCACCCCCACCCCCTCCCCGAACCTCCGACTCCCGATCCCACCATCAGGCATGATCGACCGAGGCTGCGCCAGCCCGCTCGGTCCCGAGCCTAAGAACCCGCCACCCCGGAACGGAGAACCCATTCCCGGCCCTACCATGCCTCCGCCCGGCATTCCTCGTCTCATGGACCCAAACTCTACTGGTCGTCGCCGCCCGCTAATATTCCCTGAATCCTCACCCATCCCCCGCCCCATAGCCATACCCATCCCCATCCCCATCCCCATCCCCGCTCCCATGGATGGAAACTCCATCGGTTTCCTTCTCATGCTCACACTCCGTAGATCCTCCCCCATCCCTCTCGGCATGCTGCCGAAAGTCGCCGCCCGGTGCCGGCCGCTCGTGTTCCCCACCTCCTCCCCGCCCATCCCCAGCATCCCCCCATCCCCCCCATCCCCCCCATCCCCCCCATCCCCCCCATCCCCGCCCCAAACTGTGCAACGGCATCTAGAATACTCGGCTCATCCCCCCCCAGAGACTTCATATGAGCCATTCGCGCCCGCCTCTTCCTGACCCCCTCCTCCCCATCCTCACCCCCCCCCATGCCCTGCCCCCAGCATCCCCATGCTATGAGACCCTATAGGAGTCAACCCCGCCTGTCCCATATACCCAGCCTGATGCCCCATATGGCTGCCCACATGCCCACTGACCACACTATGTATCGGACTCAGCCCTCCAACCCCGCCCCCCATTCCTCCCCCTCCCACGCCTGCACTGAAATTCAGCCCACCAGCAAGGCCAGCCACGTGGGGAGAGTGCCTGTTTCCCAGTAATAGCGCACTGTCCGTGCGCCTCCGAGTCATAAACCCAACCATGTTAGGGCTGTTGAGGCTGTGGCTGTGCGGGGTGTGCAAGGGGGAGGGGGGGGCGAGCTGCCCAAAGGATAGGCTTCCTTTCATGCCGGAGACAGACCGGGTGAGCTGCTTGATTATCGTGTCCTCTCCTGCACTCGTTGAGTGGGTCAACCCCTTGCCAGAACCACCGGAAGCACCATCACCAGTGCCATCACCACCAAAACCACTAGCACCAGCACCACCAGCGCCACCAGCGCCGCCGTCCCCGCTGCTGCCCCCGCCCCCCAACCAACCACGAGAAGCAGCAGCAGCCGAAACATCAGCATCACCATCGTCGTCATCATCATCATCATCCTCCTCCCGCCTTCGTACCCTGCTCCACTGTCTCCCGCGTCCCCCCAGCCCCACACTGGCCTCTCTTAAACTCCCCCTCCCCACCCCCCTCAGCAGCATCAGCTGCTGGTGCTGCTGCATATCCTCCTGCTCTCGCCTCATCTTCTCCAAAGATTCCTGCACCTGTAGGAGCACGTACGCCGTCTCGTCCGCGTTCTCCTCTAGCCGCTGCAGGGACCGCTTGATATGTGACATCTCCCCACTCTTGCCCTTCTTGGGCTTCTCTCCTAGCAGCGCCACTTCCACGTTCTCCCCGAATTGCCCCATGACTGACTCGGCTAGGGTGACTGGGTCGACGTGCTGCGACTTGCTGGCCGCCTTGGTGGGACTCATAGATGCCATCTGAGGGGTTGTGGGGAGAGGATGGGAAGGAGAGGGATAGGGGCGGGTAGGAGGAAGGGGGAAAGTGGGGGTGTTAGGAGTGCCGCTTGCACGCTCTCTCCATACTGACCCATGACTGACTCAGCTATGGTGACAGGGTCGACGTGCTGAGACTTGCTGGCCACCTTGGTGGGACTCATCGACGCCATCTGAGGGGTCGAGAAGAGTGGGCGAGAGAGATGGCGCTCACGGCTACATCATGTCCATGATCCATCTCTCATCTATCCCCACATCCACGATCCTCGTTGTCTGCTGCAGCAAGAGCAGAAAAGCAAGTCCACCTGCCAGCATGCCAAGCACCACATGGCACGCAGGCCCATACCTTGCGCTCATAAGTACTGTTCATGAGGGCACACAGCTACCTCATGTCCATTTTGTCTATCCCCACAATAGCACGCACGAGAGCAAGTACCCGGTTCCTTGCCTAGCACCACACTCCCAGCCCGACCGACCCATACCTTGCGTTCGTATGTGCGCTTCATAAGCGCATAGAGCGACATCATGTCCATCTTGTCGATCCCCACATCCACAACCCTCTAGCTTTGGTCTGGTGCATCCTAGTGAGTGCTAGGTCAACCCACCAAGCCAACCCACCTTGCGCTCGTAGGTGCGGTTCATGAGGGCATAGAGCGACATCATGTCCATCTTGTCGATGCCCACATCCACGATCCTCTTCGTCTGGTGGATCCGCCGCAGCGTCTCCCGCTCCTGCTGCGACATGAAGCACCCCTTCCTAAGCATCTCCGCCACCTCTCGCACCGCTGACTTGCGCTGCTTTGCCAAAGCTTCCTCCTGGATTGAGGGGCGGGGGAGAGAAGGCGGGGAGAGGGGGGGGAAGGGGGGGAGAGAGGGGGGAGGAGGGGGGGGAGAGGGTGAGAGATGTAGCAGGAGGATTCGCCTCAGCCTCAGCGTCTCCTGCTCCTGCTGCGCCATGAAGCACCCTTTTTTCAACATCTCAGCCACCTCTCTCACTGCTGACCTGCCCTGCTTTGCCAGCGCTTCCTCCTGTATTGGAGGAGAGAATAAGAGTGGGGGTAAGGGGGGAGAGGTTGGATGCTGTTTATCTCTTGGTTTGGTTTGTCTGCGTATCTGTCTTCTTCCGCGACATGAGGCACCCCTTTCTCAGCATCTCCGCCACCTCTCTCCCCGCCAACTTGCGCTGCTTTGCAAAAGCTTCCACCTGTATTGGAGGTGAGAAGGAGAGTGGGGGTAAGGGGGGGAAGGTTGGATGCAGTTGCACTAGGGTTGTAGCATGGGAGGCGATGCGGAATCTCTACAGATCTATTTTTGGGGCGCCACTTTTTTAGGCGCCTCAAAAATAGGCTCCTCACTAGGGTTGTAGCATGGGAGGCGATGTGGAATCTCCACAGATCCGCAGCAGCAAGCAGAGCCATGCAGACACCTCACACTCTCCCCAACACACATACACGCACACACCTCTCTCTCTCCCCACCCTCACCCCCTCCTTGGACTTTTCGTATGAGCCAAAGAACAGCAGGTGATGCCGAGCTTCCTCAGGCTTCAGTAGGGGGTGCAGAGCAGAAATCCGTCAGCCCCCAGAGTCACACACCTCCTCCTCTCACCTCCTCTTTGGTCTCCTCATGCGTCCCCAGGAACAGCAGGTGGTGCCTCAGCTTCCGCACGCTCCAATACGGGGTGCAGATGCGCTGCCACAGGTTCCTCAGCAGCACCTAAGCCACGCGCACACCTCACACAAAAGAAGTAGTCCTCACCTCCTCCTTGGTCTTCTCGTGCGTGCCCAGGAACAACAAATGATGGCGCAATTTCCTCAGGCTCCAATACGGGGTGCAGATGCGCTGCCACAGGTTCCTCAGCAGAATCCAGATGTCCATCGGGAGCGCCGTCTCCTCCTGCGCCGCTTCCTTCACATCCATAAACGCATCCACCACTATGGCAATCACTACGTTCATCAGAATAAACACCATGATCACCACAAACGACAGCCAGAAGACGAACGCCGCCAGCCGCTCCCACCCCTCGAGCATCACGAAATAGTACGCGGCGGCGTTGTCTTGAATGAGCATGAAGAAGCAGGAGAGCATGGAGTTGGGGATGGTGCGGAACTGCTCGAGGGTGCGGCCGAACACGAGGTAGCCGTAGAAGGAGAATCCGAGGAAGATGATGCCGAAGACGAGGAAGAAGTGGAGGATGGCTGGGAGGGCCGCCGCCATGGTGCGCGTGATGATGCCGATTCGCGGTTGAAAGTCCATCAGCTTGAGGAGGCGTTGCACCATGAGGAACACACTGCAGATGGGAGGGGGGAAGGGGAAAGAAGGGGGGGAGTGGAGTGGGCAATGACACCTGGCGGCTGATGGCGTGGGTGATGCTGCGGATGGGCGGCTGGAAGTCCATTAACTTAAGTAGCCGTTGCACCATCAAGAACACACTGACGGATAGGGAGGAGGGAGAGGGGGTCAGGGGGACGGGGGAGTGGGGGGAGGGGGGGAGGAGGGGGGCCAGAGACAGAGAGGGGAAAGGGGTGAGTGTACGGATGGCAGTGCAGTGCTTGTGGGGCGCAGGGCTGAACACGAGGTAGCCGTAGAAGGAGAGGCCGAGGAAGATGATGCCGAAGTCGAGGAAGAAGTGGAGGATGGCTGGAACGGCCGCCGCCATGGTGCGCGTGATGATGCCGATTCGCGGTTGAAAGTCCATCACCATGAGCAGGCGTCCCACTGCGGATGGGAGGGGGGAAGGGGAAAAAAGGGGGGGAGTGGAGTGGGCAATGACAGATCGGAGGGATCTATTTTTGAGGCGCCTCAAAGATCGGAGGGCGACGAGGGGGCAGGTACGGAATGCACATGACACGTGGCACATGGGAGGGCTGCTGCTGCCTTGGTGCGTGTGATGATGCTGATGCGGGGTTGGAAGTCCATTAACTTAAGTAACTGCTGTACCATGAAGAATACACTGAGAGGGGGGGGGGGGGGGGGGGGGGGGAAGGAAGAGGGCATGTGTAATTCCCTGGGCCGTGTTGCAAGGCACCTCACAACTAGTTGACATGCACGCCGTCAGGCACGCTGTCAGGCGATAAGCTCACTTGATTTCCTGGATGGCGGCGTAGAAGGAGCGACGCCTGATGATGTCATCCTTGGTCTGATTGATACATCCGCATGACGCTCTTAAAGCCCCTCGAGGTCTCTCTCCGATACATACATGTCTATGTCTGTATCCCTAGCTCACTCACTTGATTTCCTGGATGGCGGAGTAGAAGCAGCGAAGCCCTGGGCAGACTACATGGTTTTGAGGCGCCTCAAAACCAGCGAAGCGTGACAATATCATAGTTTTGGGGCGCCTCAAAACCAGCGAAGCCTGACAATATCATCCTTGGTGGTGCACACCTGCAGCATGGTGCTCTCAACGCCCCTCCGGTCGAGTTGTGTCCTTACATCACCTGACCTACTCCATACCCTAGCCAGTGGCCACTCGCTTGATTCCTTGGTTCGCGAAGTAGAAGGACCGCAGCTTGATGAGGTCATCCATATTGCTTTTGAGTCGACTCAAAAGCGTTCATATTGTGGTACACCTGCATGGCGCTCTCAAAGCCCTTCGAGGCCATGTTGTTCCTCGGGCAGACTACATGGGCAGGGAATTGCAGTTCCCCGCCCAGAACTGCAATTCCCTGGGCAGACTACATGGGCGTGCATGCTGCAAGGAAAGCCCGCAACTCACTTGATTCCTTGAATCGCGAAGTAGAAGGAGCGAAGCTTGATGATATCATCCATGGTTCGGTACACCTGCATCGCGCTCTCAAAGCCCTTCGAGGTCGTGTTCAACGCCCAGAACTGCGACGTTGTGTCGTCGAGCGACGCGTACACGTTGTAACGGACGTTGATGGTCTCAAGGGCGGACAGCTGCTGCACCATGATGATCCTGATGGGGGGGCGGGAAGACCGGGGGGGGGAAGGGGAGGGGTAGAGACAAGAAGTGAGAGAACCGGGAAGAGAGAAAAAAGGGTAAGAGTGACGTATGCACGTTTTAAAGGACGTTGATGGCCTTAAGGGCGGACAGCTGCTGCACCATGATGATCGTGATGGCGAGGGGAGAAGGGGGAGGGAAAGCCATAATGGGAGTCCATAATGGCCGCTGCAAACGTGCATATGTTCCATTATCTGGAACATATGCACGTTGGCAGCAGCCTTATCAGACTCCCATTTTGGCACGTTGGCAGTGGCCTTATCAGACTCCCATTATGGCACGTTGGCAGCGGCCTCATCAGAATCCCATTATGGCACGTTGGCAGTGGCCTCATCAGACTCCCATTATGGCACGTTGGCAGCGGCCTCATCAGACTCCCATTATGGCACGTTGGCAGCGGCCTTATCAGACTCCGATTATGGCACGTTGGCAGCGGCCTCATCCGAATCCCATTATGGCACGTTGGCAGTGGCCTCATCGGACTCCCATTATGGCACGTTGGCAGCGGCCTCATCAGACTCCCATTATGGCACGTTGGCAGCGGCCTTATCAGACTCCCATTATGGCATGTTGGCAGCGGCCTTATCAGCTCCCATTATGGCACGTTGGCAGCAGCCTTATCAGACTCCCATTATGGCACGTTGGCAGCGGCCTTATCAGATTCCCATTATGGCATGTTGGCAGCGGCCTTATCAGACTCCCATTATGGCACGTTGACGGCGGCCTTATCAGACTCCCATTATGGCACGTTGGCAGCGGCCTTATCAGACTCCCATTATGGCATGTTGGCAGCGGCCTTATCAGCCCCATTATGGAACGTTGGCAGCGGCCTCATCAGAATCCCATTATGGCACGTTGGCAGCGGCCTTATCAGACTCCCATTATGGCACGTTGGCAGCGGCCTCATCAGACTCCCATTATGGCACGTTGGCAGCGGCCTCATCAGACTCCCATTATGGCACGTTGGCAGCGGCCTCATCAGACTCCCATTATGGCACGTTGGCAGCGGCCTCATCAGACTCCCATTATGGCACGTTGGCAGCGGGCTTATAAGACTCCCATTATGGCACGTTGGCAGCGGCCTCATCAGACTCCCATTATGGCACGTTGGCAGCGGCCTTATCAGACTCCCATTATGGCACGTTGGCAGCGGCCTTATCAGCTCCCATGGCAGCGGCCTTATCAGACTCCCATTATGGCACGTTGGCAGCGGCCTTATCAGACTCCCATTATGGCACGTTGACAGCGGCCTTATCAGACTCCCATTATGGCACGTTGGCAGCGGCCTTATCAGACTCCCATTATGGCATGTTGGCAGCGGCCTTATCAGAATCCCATTATGGCACGTTGGCAGCGGCCTTATCAGACTCCCATTATGGCACGTTGGCAGTGGCCTTATCATCTGGCGTTCCAGTCTGGGCACCCCTCGGTCATCGCCTTTTCCTCCTGCAAGGCTGAGCCCTATGTAACTATGATGCCACTATGGTTGCACAAGAGGCTCGTTGATTCTCCTTCACAGCCCTGTTCCAACATCTGGTGTGACAACACGAGCATCATTCACCTCATCAACAATGCACTCTTTCATGACCGCTGAAAGCACATCGAGCTCCGTTACTTCTTGTGTAGCATGTATTTATGTTTTTTACCCTGGTTAAGGTAAACTAACCTTCCTAGTTGGGTTGGTTCACCACGTGAGTGTAAACCAACTCAACCAAAGTTCGTTCGCCAACCAACTTTTGTTGAGTTTGCAACCAACTTCGGTTGGGTCTCAAACTCAACCAACATTTGTTGAGTCCAACCCAGTGCAGTGAAAGACGTTGTCCAGTTTGGTTCACATTCCGAGCACATGTGCTCCTGGCACCACAGCCCAGCCAGGCACTCGCCAAACAACCATGCCCCGGATGGATCTGGATGCCTTGCAAGACCAGGTCCCACAACAGGATACCTCCTGAACACAGGAGAAACATGCCTCGCACCACAACCCATGCACTCACCAGACGACGATGCCCCATATCTGGATCCCCAGCGAGAGCAGGTCGATCCAGTTGCCAAACTGGCGAAAGTGGTAGAGAAAGCTGCCCGTGTGACGGTACGTCTGAAACATCTCGTTGATCTCCTCCAGGAGGTTGTAGGCCACGCACACCACGTAGATTATCTCCAACACCATCTGGGCGTAGGAGGAGGCTGACGAGTAGGGCTCTACTGGTATTGGCACGAGCCTGTACGTGTAGCCCAGCTTTCCGCCCACGTCCACCTCTATGAGCACCTGGGAGTGAGAAGAGAAGACGGCAATGAAAGGGAGAGAGGTGAGGGATACGGGGAGGAGCGGAGAGGGTTGGGGAGAGAGAGCGGGCGGCAGGAAGGTTGAGGTGCACGTTTGGGAGCACGGGCATGCTGACATGCATGCTATAGGTGATGTAGGCTTGAGCAAAGCCGGGTAATTACCAGAACACATCTGCTGTAGGTGATGTGGAACATGTGTAATGAGTCTATTTTTTAGTCGACTAAAAAATAGACTAATTATTTTTGAGTCGACTCAAAAATAGACTCATTACACACAGTGAGCACATTTGCTGCTGCTCATCAGAACAGGCATGACAACTCGAGAAGGCCTTTTGAACGCACCTTTGAGAGCACAAACATGTTGACGTCCGCGTTATAGGTGATGACGGCGAACTCGATTGACTTCGTGAGGTTGTCAAAGAAGTAGCCGTCCACCAAATACTGCAGCCGCTTTGTGGCCGCCACCCGGTGCAGATTCACGTCGAATATGAGCGGATAGGACCCGAGGTTGTCCTGGTCAAGGGAGAGGGAGGGGAGGGAGGGAGGAGGGAAAGAGAGGGCATGGGCACATTAACAGCAGTTTACACGGAGGGGTTTGTGGCCGTTAACCAGTGCAGATTCTCGTGGAATATGAGCGGATAGGACTCGAGATTGTCCTGGACAAGGGAGAGGGAGAGGAGGGAGGGAGGAGGGAAAGAGAGGGCATAGGCACATGAACAGCAGTTTACGCGCAGGGGTTTGTGGCCGTTACCCAGTGCAGATTCTCGTCGAATATGAGCGGATAGGACTCGAGATTGTCGTGGACAGGGGAGAGGGAGAGGAGGGAGGGAGGAGGGAAAGAAAGGGCATAGGCACATCAACAGCAGTTTACGTGTAGGGGTTTGTGGCCGTTACCCAGTGCAGATTCACGTCGAATATGAGCGGATAGGACTCGAGATTGTCCTGGGGAAGAGTCGAAGGGAGGTGGATAGGGGAGGGAGGTGGAGAGGGGAGGGAAGGTGGAGAGGGGAGGGAGGTGGAGAGGGGAGGGAAGGTGGAGAGGGGAGGGAGGGTGGAGAGGGGAGGGAAGGTGGAGAGGGGAGGGAAGGTAGAGAGTGGAGAGTGGAGCACACGAATCCGCAATGCAGCCCATCGTTGTTGAACAGAGGAGCGGAGCTGAAGGTGAGTTCTCTAGGCCCATGGCCCGTGGCCCGTGGGATTGGCTGGTGCTTTTGAGGCAACGACTGATTGCCTCAGCGGTGCCTCAGCGGTGCCTCAGCGGTGCCTTAACCATGGTGCCGCATTGACTCACCATGGGAAAAACAGATCCATACGGCAGGCCTTCATCGTTGACCAGGGGAGCGGAGCTGAAAGTGGAGTTCTCCAGGCCCGTGAGGCGCCTCACGGTATGGAAGGATCCATCGAGAACCTTCCATAATCAAAGAAGGCGCGTCACTCTTGACTGACCCCTCACTCACCATGGGAGGAACGAAGCCATATGGTAACCCCTCATCGTTGAAGAGAGGGGCGGAGCTGAAAGTGGAGTTCTCTAGGCCCGTCTGATTGGCTGCGGCAACGAGGGGGTCGTAAAGGTCTGACGTGGAGAGGAAGCGCGGGTTGATGCCAAAGGAGGTCAGGCTGGTGGCGTTGCTGAGGCAGTTTGGCCAGATGCTGGCGAATCTGAAAACGGGGGGAGGGAGAAGGAAAAGGAAGAGAGCCACGAGGGGGTGGCAAGGAATGTGAGGTGGAGAGGAAGCGCGGGTTGATGCTGAATGAAGTCGAGCTGGTGGCGTTGCTGAGGCAGTGCAGCCAGATGCTGGCGAACCTGATTAAGGGGGGGGGGGGGTGTGTGGGGGTGGGGTTGGGGGGGGAGGGAGGAGGGGGGAAGAGAAAGAGATAGGTAGGTAGGGAAGAAACGTGAGGTGGAGAGGAAGCGCGGGTTGATGCCGAATGAAGTCGAGCTGGTGGCGTTGCTGAGGCAGTGCGGCCAGATGCTGGCGAACCTGATTAAGGGGGGAAAAGAGGAGGAAAGGGAAGGGAAGGGAGAAACGAGTGGGTTGACGGCCAAGGGGGTTGTGGTGGTGGTGGCGCTGGGCAGGCAGTGCGGCCAAATGCTGGCGAACCTGCAGAGGGGAGACGAAAGGGGAGGAGGGGGGGGAGAAAGAAAGCGGCGATTGGGGATGGGAGGGATGCAGCGAATGGAGTTTTGAGGCGCCTCAAAAGTCGTCTCCTTATCCGCGGTTTTGAGGCGCCTCAAAAGTCGTCTCCTTATCCGCGGTTTTGAGGCGCCTCAAAAGTCGTCTCCTTATCCGCGGTTTTGAGGCGCCTCGAAAGCGGCGATTGGGGATGGGAGGGATGCAGCGAATGCAGCGGTAGATGGAGATGGAGGGCATGAGAGAGAGAGACAGCATGAGTTCAAGCCAAACGACAGCCTGAGTTCAAGCCAAACGACAGCCTGAGTTCAAGCCAAACGACAGCCTGAGTTCAAGCTAAACGACAGCCTGAGTTCAAGCCAAACGACAGCCTGAGTTCAAGCCAGACGACAGCATGGCGGCGTTGCTGAGGCAGTAGGGCGAGAGAGAACCTCGGGGGTGAAAGGGAGCAAAGAGCGGTACAATGTGGTGCAGGAGGGTGCAGAGGGGAAAGCACCGGAGAGATGGTGTGAGAGGGATGGCAGAGCAGAGCAGGGAATTAGAGGGGGAAGCGTGGAGTAGATCTATTTTGAGATTATGCTGAGACATCTCAAAATCAGAATGGGATGGATTGATGTACATACAGACCTATTCTTAGGGCACTCACTCACTCTCTCACTCACTCTCACTACTCACTCACTCACTCACTCCCTCACTCACTCTCACTCCCTCACGCAGTCTCACTCTCTCACTCACTCTCACTCACTAACTACGCAAGAGGTGCTCACTTTTTGGAGGGGCACTCCCGGGAGCCCCAGCGGGTTTGCAGCACGTAGAGGCCGACCAGCAGCCTGCAGACAGAGGGAAGAGGAAGTGAGAGAGGGTGAAAGGGGAAGGTGAGAAGAGTGCGGTGCGGTGCGGGTGCCCTATTGGGTTGCAGGCTGCAGGACACAGAGGTTGACGGCAACCGGCATCAGAGGGGAGAGATGGCAAGTGCAGGTGAGAGAGGAAGTGAGAAAGAGACTGCCCCTCCTTCCTGTAAGACAACGGGACTTTGATTGATTAAAATGAGAGAGGGCATACAAGCTTAAGTACTAACCATAGGAGAGGGTTGGAAGAGATAAGGGGAATCGGAGGGAATCCCTCAAGGGAATCCTCCCAAATCGTGGGGATTTGGGATGGATTGGGTTGGGATAGGTTGGGGATAAAAAGGCTACACCCCCAACCTAACAAACATTCCTAACCCTAAACAAACAAATGACTAACACACAAATGTGCAACATTGCAGCCTATCTCCAACACTTCCCCCTTCAGCCCACCAGCTTCTCTCCGTCACATGCTGGTGCTAAGGCGTCTCATCATAGACCTTAGAGAACTGCGGGTTGGATGCGAGCTTAGGCGATGGAACGAGGAACTCAATACAGCTTATAGCCTCACCTGTTCCTCCTCTCACTCCCCCCCCCCCCTTCCCCCTCCCCGCTCCATTCCCCTCTCGTCCTTCCCCCTGTAACCCACCTGTTCCTCTCCGTCAAGTGGCGGTACAGAGGCTTCTCATACAGCTCTGAGAAGTGCGTGTTGCTGGCATGCATGTCCGGCCCAAACGACCGCAGCTGGAAGGGGAACAGCAGGCTCCCCCCCACCTGCTCCTATCCCTTCCCCTCTCATCCCACGTGTTCCTCTCCGTCACGTGGCGGTGCAGAGGCTTCTCATAGAGCTCTGAGAAGTGCGTGTCGGAAAACTGAGAGCTCAAATTAACTATGACCCCACTTGTTATAAACCACACCCCCTAGTCCCCCTTCAACCCACCTGTTTCTCTCGGTGACGTGGCGGTGCAGAGGCTTTTCATAAAGCTCCGAGAACTGAGTGTTGCTGGCGTGGATGTCCGGCCCAAACGACCGCAGCTGGAAGGGAAACAGCAGGTTCGCCCCCACTGCGTCCGTGGGGCAACACGCCCCCGCGTCCGACCTCGTTTGACCTGCAGGGCACGGGCACTCCCCCCCCACGCCCCCCCACTGCCCCCCAACGCTGCGCACTCGCAGTCCCCCCGTCGAAGGCGCAGTGGTGATTGTTGCAGAGGGGGTCGCAGCGGCCGTCCGCTAGGCTCCCGAGAAAGCAGCCGGGGTAGCATGAGGAGGAAAGAGGGGATTCGGTGGTGGTTCCGGTGGCGTTTGTGGCGTCAAAAAAAGGGTCGAGGAAAGAAACTGCAAGGTTGAAAAAGGGGAGGATGGGGGGGAGGAAGGGAATGAAAAGCACTGTGAACAAAACGGATGCTTCAAAGCATGGTTGTTGACCCTCCAATGCTGCGCACCCACAGTACCCCCCGTCGAATGCACAGTGGTGGTTGGTGCAGAGGGGGTCGCAGCAGCCGTCCGCTAGGGTTCTGAGAAAGCAGCCGGCCGGGGTAGCAGGAGAAGGAGAGATGGGAGGGGGCGGTGGTGTTGGTGGTGGCATTGGTGGTTGCGCTGGAGTCAAAGAAAGGGTTGAGGAGGGAGACTGGGGGAAAGGGCAGGGGAAGGCTTTCGAGTCGACTCCAAAGTCACCAGGTTGCGCTGGAGTCAAAGAAAGGTTTCAGAGGGAACCTGGGAGACAGGGCAGGGGAAGGAAGGTCAGAGGGGGTGGTTTAGGCCTGCCGGCTGATTATGGAGGCAGAAAGAACGCGGTGGTTACTATATGGCACTGCAGCATACTCACTAGAGTCGTCCTCGCTATTGCCCACCACGTGTGCCACAGCAGGCATCTCGGGAATCACCTGCTACATAACATGACATGCTTGATTCAAGTCGCATCAGCATACTCACTAGAGTCGAATTCGCTATCGTCCACAACGTGGATCGTGGCAGTCATATCAGCACACGAAAGCAGTAATATCAGCAGATGAATGCAGTAATGTCAGCACATAGTACCCTGCTATATGTCATACAAGCATACTCACTAGTGTCGTCTTCGCTATCGTCCACAACGTGGATCGTGGCTGTCATATCGGCACCAAACCGCCCGCACTCCACTTTGTAGGAGCCGGTTTGGGTGAAGACAGCAGCATAGGTGAAGGAGGGGGTGTCCGCGGGCCCATCTGGTAGGGGAGGGTGAGAGGGGGAGGGGAGGAGAGGTGGTGTTACAAGGCTCCACTTTGTATGAGCCGGATTGGGTGAAGACAGCAGCGTAGGCGGAGGAGGGGGTGTCCGTGGGCCCATCTGGTAGTGGAACGAGGGAGAGTGGAGGGAGGGAGAGGGGAGGGGGAGAGAGGATGGGGAGAGGGAGAGAGAGTGTTACATGGCCTCTAAGCACCCACTGCTCGCACTCCACTTTGTATGAGCCGGTTTGGGTGAAGACAGCAGCGTAGGTGAAGGGGGGGTTGTCCGCCAGGCTGTCTGGTGGGAGGTGGAGAAAGGGGGGAGGGGGGTTAGAAGGCGAGAGTGTGTTGAGATGCCTCTAACCACGCACCGCCCGCACTCTGCTTGGTGCGAGCCGGGTTGAGTGAAAACAGCAGAGTAGGTGAAGGAGGGAGTGTCCATCAGGGTCCATCCATCCGTTAGGGTAGGGGGGAGAGGGCAAGGGGAGAGGGGGATGGGGAGGGGGGGAGGGGGAGAGAGGGAAAGGGGAGAGGGGGATGGGGAGAGGGAGGAGGGGGGGAGAGGGGAAGGGGAGATGGGGGAGGGGGGAGACGGGAAGGGGAGAGGGGGGAAGGGGGGGGAGGGGAAGGGGAGAGGCGGGAGGGGGAGAGGCAAGCTTCTAAGCACGAACCAGCCGCACTCCACTTTGTAGGAGCTTGGTTGGGTGAAAATAGCAGCATCGATGAAGAGGGGGGGTGCCCATCTCACAGAGCGCGCATGGGTGCCACGGGATGGACACTTTGAGACATCAGACCACATTGAGAGCAACTCACAAACGGCGCAACTCACAGAGCGCGCACGGGTGTGGCGGGCCGTCAAGGGGCATGGTGCCCACATTGTCCGGAGCGCACCGGCTGTGCCTCGACAGCACCATGCGGTTGGTGCCATAGCCCTTGAACAGGCTGTCGCCCATGCTGCTGCCCAGGCCGCGGACTGGAGGCAAGAGAGGGAAGGGAAGAGGGGAGAGGGAATGGGAAGACAGGGAGGGAAAGACGGGGAGGAGAAGACACCACCAAGCGGTTGGTGCCGTAGCCCTTGAACAGGCCGTCGGCCGTGCTGCTGCCCAGGCCGGGGACGGGAAGAAAGGGGGGAGAGAGGAGAAAGCACCATGCAGTTGGTTGGTGCCATAGCCTTTGAAAAGGAGGAGAGGGAGCGGGGGGGGAAAAGCCCGCGAGGGGGTGCAGACCCTCTCCTCTAGCACAGTGATGGCACCCCCTCTTGGTTAGCCTGCTAGGTGATGTGATGCCGGCAGACCGTTGGGGAAAGCCTAGAGGAAACATGGCAAGGCTAGTGCAGTGTACTGGGAGAACCTACAAACGAGGACTGCCATTCACTAACAGGCTCATAGATGGTATGACTGAAGGGAGAGGAAGGGAGCTTGTAAGGGGTACAGCACTCACTCTTAACGGAGTGAGGGTAGTCGTCGGCCCACACGAACTGCACACTGTCGCCCCTCCCTACTGTCACATTGAAATCAGCCCCCACTGCCCACTCCAACATGCGCCCGTCTGCAAGGAGCAAGGAGGAAAGGAAGAAGGGGAGGGCTGCAGTGGCAGAGGGGGACATGGGCCCACACCAACTGCACACTGTCGCCCCTTCCTACTGTCACGTTGAGATCCGCCCCCACTGCCCACTCCAACATGCGCCCGTCTGCATTGGGCAAGGGGGAAAGGACGGAGGGATGGGTGGGGTGGGGGGAGAGGGGGGGAGGGGGGGGGGGGGGTGGTGGGGGTTGGGGTGAGACATTATTGATGAGGGTGGGTGTAGTCAATCCGCTCACATGAACTCCACTCCACAGTCTCACACTGCAGCCCCTCCATACTGTCACATTGAAACCCGCCTTGGCCCCATTGCCCATCTGCAAGGGGCAAGGTGATGCGGGAACGGAAGGATGAGGGAGCGTAGTGAAGCAGACATCTGGACACAAAAAGCACACTGTCGCAAAGCAAACCTCATGCAGACTGCAGCCCTCCAGCTCACTGTCAACCAGGTTGATCACCGTGACGTAGAGGTGAGAGGACAAGGGAACAAGTGAAGGAGAGCAGCAAAGCAACACTCACGCAGGCTGCAGCCCTCCAGCTCGCTGTCAACCAGGTCGATCGCCGCAACGTAGAGGTGAGAGGAGAGGCGAGCCAAGGTGGCACCATCCACCGCCACCACCGACTCCACCGCATCCAGGAAGGTTCCTACGAACCGCGCGAACTGGTCTCGGGACATGCGCAGGCGCCGGGAGAGCAGAGCAGACACACTGATGGAAGATGCCGTTTCGTTAGAAGCAGACCCGTTAGAAGCAGTCCCATTAGAAGCAGTGCCGTTCTTGGTTGTACTGTTGGAAGCAGCGGGAGCAGCAGCAGCAGCAGCAGGAGGAGGAGGAAGACCGTGGAAGGCGTAGTAAGCAGCTGCAGCAGCCATGGACCCATGCACGGACGTGAAAGGCCCAAGCGCACAGCCACCCCCTCCCACTGCTGCCACATCAACCACTTGACCACCAATCGAACGAACTCCTGCCAAGCTACTGTCCACCAGAGCAGCATCTCCTCCTGTTGCTGCTGCTTCGTTCGCTAGGACTGTGTCAGTGATTTCCAACCTTCCAGCACCAGCACTAGCATTAGCAGCAGCATTAGAAGTAGCACCCTGCACCCCCTGCACCCCCTGCACCCCCTGCACTGCCCCCTGACTATTCAACAGCCCACAGAACAGGGCCGAGACGCGGGCGCGGGTGGCAGTGTCGAGAGTGACTGTAGAGAAGCGGTCAGCGAGGCACGCGTCCCCCACCCACGAGTAGAGGGCTCGTCCCACTGCCACCCGCAGGTTGAACCACCGTTGCCGGTCCGTGGGGCCGAGGGCAGCCCATGCATCTGTGTCTGCCTGTGTGCTTGCCTGTGTGCTCGCCTGTGTGCTTGCCTGTATGTTTGCCTGCAAGTTTGCCTGCTGCTGCTGCTGCTGCTGCTGCTGCTGCTGCTGCTGCTGCTGCTGTGTCTGTTGTCGAGCTTGTGGTTGCAGCTCTTGTGGAGAGAAAGAAGCAGCAGCAGCAGGTCTCAGTCCGACTTGGTTGGGTGCGGGCACTGCTGATAAAGCGGGACAGAGGACGGGGGCAGGAGTGGGGAGGGGCTTCTGAGTTGGCTCAACGTGCCTGCTGCTGACAGGAAGCAGGGTTTGGATGGAACCAGGATGCTACAGTGAAACGTTTAAAGAAATACAAAAAGCCTACCACAAAAGGGAACGGAGAGGGTGTGAGTGCAGCAGGCAGAGAGTCAAGGGAACGCACCGGCATTGAGGGCTCTATGGGTCATGGATCCACTCAGGCTCATGCTTCCCATGCTCTCTGTTCTGCTGCTGCTGCTGCTGCTTCTGCTGCTGCTGCTGCTACTGCTGCCTCTCCACAGACTTCTTTCCTCCTCGTGGTTAATTATTTCCTCTTCCTCATCTACTTGTTCCTCTTCTTCTTCTTCGCCTTTCTCCTCCGCTTCTGCATCCCCTGCTGCCTCTCCTGTCCCTTCTGCTTCTTCCGTAACCTCCCTCGCCTCAGCTTCTGCCGCTGCTGCTCCTTCCAATGCTTTTCCTCCATCCTTCCGCCCACCCATCGGTGCTTTCCGCCTCACGTGCCAACGAGGGTGATGGTGGGGAGGACGAGGCATACCACCATCCGATTCCCCCTGAAAGCTCAGCGTCTTTCTCACTGTCCCTTCTCCCCCAACCGAACGCATCTTCCTCGGCCGGCTGTTGCTAATTTCGTTTTGAGACATCTCAAAACGAAAGCTTAGCGTCTTCCCCGCAGCTCCTTCTCCCCCAACCGAATGCATCGTCCTCTGAGAGGTCGTCGGAACTTTGAGCATCTCGTTTTGAGCGGCATCAGAAAAGGCACCGGAGCGCAAAAGCCGCTGCGTATGCCCCTGTGGTTGCCGCTGGGATGGTGTGCGGGGTAGTTGCCTCCCAGCCAGTTGTAGCAAGCGCCGCTGGTGAGATGATGCCTGGGGGGAGGGTAAGGAAGGATGATTGGCAGAGAGGGGCGGAAGGAGGAGGGACGCGTAAAAAAGGCCATGGAGCACAAAGGGCGCGGCGCATGCCCCTGTGGTTGCCACTGTGCTGGTGTACGGGGTAGTTGCCTCCTAGCCAGCTGCAGCAAGCGCTGCTGGTGTGGTGATGACGCCTGAAGAAAGGGCATGGATGATGCTTGGAAACGAGTATGGGTGAGCCAGGTAAGATGGAGTATGGGTGTGTTTTTTAGGCACCTAAAAAACAAGCGCTGCTGGTGTGATGATGACGCCTGAAGAGGGGGCATGGGCGATCCAACGAAACGAGTATGGGTGAGCCAGGTAAGATGGAGTATGGGTGGATGGCAAGAGAGGCAAAGTCACCACAGTAACGTTTGAGGCGGCTTTTGAGTCGGATATGCCCGTTTCACTCAGCAGGTGAAACGGGCCGGGCAGGCCGCGGGGGTGAACATGGGCATGTGAGAAGAAAGAGAGAGCGAGAGGGAGCCATGGCCATGTTCACACACAGCGATGCTTGAGAGCTCTTATGATAAGTGGCATACACACATGTGATGTGATATGCACACATCCATACCCACATATGATATGCACACACATGCATACACACATATGATATGCACACACATGCATACACACAAATGATATGCACACACATGCATACACACAAATGATATGCACACACATGCGTAAACGACACCTACATGTATGCTGCTGGTGCAACACAGCACATTCGCACATGGTTGCTTAACTCACATGCGCACTGCTGTTGCTGCTGGGCGCAGAGCTGCTGCTGCTGGCATTTCGTTTCAGAGCCTTGACATAAGTAGCATTCACTGCAGGGATCAGGAATATCATACATCAAGGGAGCGGCAGGGAGTCGTAGACTGCAAGATCACAACAATGCAACGACGATAGCCCAATAAAAATACGGCATACCTACGATTGTTGTGATCGAGAACGTTTTCCTTGAGAGTTGAGCACTCGATTGCAAAAACGCGACTGCTGATGCAGACACCTACCAAGGGAGCTTAGACGTCTAAGCTCCCTGGTAGGGACTTAAAGCTTAGACGGATGGTTTACCCCGATAGTACACACTCTATCTGACATTTTGAGGTTACATTCTTAAAGCGGGACGCTTTACAAGAGGCCCTTACACGAGCAATTCACATTCTTCAGTACAGTGGTGGTGATCCCTAGCATCTGTTCAGAGAGGGCGGGGGCACAGGGGCGGGTGGGGAAGTGGGGAGGAGGGAACGGGGACATGTGGGAAGGTGGGGAGGAGGGGAGCATGGGAGCGGGTGGGGATCACAGAAAAGCCAGTTACTAGGAGCCTTAAACAACGAGGATAGTGATGGTGATCCCCTTTTAAGTCGACTCAAAAGTCAGCTCGGTACTAGCCTTAAACAACGAGGATAGTGATGGTGATCCCCTGGCATCTGGTGAGAGAGGAGGGCGGGCACATGGGGGCAGGGGTTGCAGAGGTGAGAACGAGAGCATGTGGCTTCGGGGTTGTTAAGTTTGACCTGTTTGTGGAGGAAGGGAAACGGCAACATGCCGCCAGAAAGATCGCTAATATGCATGTTTGCCGTTTCCCTTGCGCGATCTTTCTGGTGCTGCCATAATGCATATCACAGCACCAGAAAGATCTTTCTGGTGCCGCCATAATGCATATCACAGCACCAGAAAGATCGCGCTCACCTCAATGCAGGTCCAGTTGCTGTATTTCGTGATGGTGAAGGGAGGGAACCATGCTGCACACATCAGCACCGCGTAGCACCGCACTAAGCAGCACCCACCTGAGCGCAGGTCCAGTTGCTGTACAGCGTGATGGTGAAGGGAGCCATGTTGCACACCACAGCGCAGCCCACGAACACACATACAGCACCATATAGCAGCACCCTACCGCACCGCATTACACCGCATACCCCTGTGCAAGACCGCTCACCTGAGTGCAGGTCCAGTTGCTGTACTGCGTGATGGTGAAGGGAGCCATATTGCACACCACAGCGCAGTCCACAAACACCCCCGACGCCTCCTCCATATCCACATTCACACATGCCTCCTGCATGCACATCGCCATCACACCGCACGTCTCCCTGCACCCATAGAGCCTCTTAGCTAAAGCCGCCGACCGCCCATTCGCCACTGTCGTCTTGCTTGTCGCACACCCCCCCCACGACACCACCACGTCTTTACTCGCTCCTAGGTCTGTCAGCTGGGCCAAGGGTGTTTCCACTACCCCCACATCCCCCCCTCCCGCTCCTCCATTCCCTGACACGCTCCAGCCTGTTCCCCAGCCTGTTGCCGAGCCTCGGGCGCTGGTTCGGCCCCCCCTGCCATTGGTTCGTTGCAGGGTGGCGTTGCTGCTGAGCGCGCCGACCACCTGCACTAACCCCCGAACGCCGCCGCCCGGCGCGTCGAGCTTGATCTGCCAGTCGCCGTCCGGAATAAAGAGGTCCAAAGCGGTTTCTGAGTGTAGCTCGGAAAACCCCTGAGGCTCCTCGAACCTGGGTGAAGCCAAAGGGAAGGGGATCGATTTTGGGGGGATCAATTGAGGGGATCACTTTTGAGTTGACTCAAATTCATCTGGCTTCTGAGTGCAGGTCGGACAACCCCTCAGGCTCCTCGACCTTGGGTGACGTAATGGGGAGGGGAGCAGTGTAGAAAGGAATGAGAAGGAAGAGAGAATGGCACCTACACTCTCTATCTCTCTTGCACTCACTCCCTCACTCACTCACTCGCTTGCTCACTCGCTCCCTCACTCACTCGCTCTTACTCTCTCACCAGCACAGGCGTGCCTGCCTCTCACCAGCAGAGGTTGGTGGGCTGCTCCATGCACAAATTCCAGGAGCTGCCGTGCACGTCACATGGGTTCCACGTCACCCTAAACCCTAAAGTTTCCTCGTCTCACTAACAGAAATCAGCGCTTCTCACCAGCACAGGTTGGTCGGCTGCGCCATGCATAAATTCCAAGAGCTGCCCTGCATGTCGGTTTGAGAGGCAAACGCCGAGTGGATGTGCACCACCACGTGGGTCACGTTCTCAAACACCCCGCAGTCTGCCTCACACCCGAATCGGCCAAACGCAGCATACTCCAAGGGGTTATCACAGACACTGTTGCCGCAATGGGGCCCCTCCCACACCACCTGCACAGCAGAGAGGGGAGATAGATAGAATGCGGTTTTTGAATCGACTAAAAAATCACCTACGAGGGGAGAGAGAATGCGGTTTTTGAATCGACTATAAAATCACCTACGAGGGGAGATGGAATGTGCAAAGAAGCTTTCCAGTCAACCAAAAGTCGCGAAGTCGGACTGGACGGACAGGCGCACAAAAACACCCGTACTATGCGTAGTTCTTTAAATTAAGACTGAGAAACGGGGGTTGGGTCAGGGCGAATGCCTGCATTTCGTTCAGGGTTGGGGTCAGGTCAGAGCGTTGATTCAGCAGTCCAAGCAGAGGAGAATCGAGAATAGAAGCTGGCATGTCCGGGACTTGAGGGCTTCGGCATGTCCAAGCCAGGACTTGAGGACTTCAGGGATTTTTGCAGCCAGCCAGCTGCTGGTACAACTCTGGCGTGACAAGTTTGCTTCTTTGACTTTTGCGCACCTGTATAATGCTGTCGTTAACCCACTGGTACATCTCGTCCGGTCCGCTCATAGAGTTGAGCTCACTCCCTGACGCTCCCTGGGGGAGTTGAGGAGGATGTGGGTGGGATTGGGCAAGGAGAAAGGGCGAGGGCGAGTATGAGCTAAGCTGCTTCTTCTTCTTTGAGCAGCCAAGCGGGTTAACATCGAGTGCGTAGGCACATCGATTACATATGTAGTGAGGTGTCACACTACCGGACCATGTAGACGATGGCATGAGAAATCATGGCGGGGATATGTAGCTCCAAGCATGCTCCAAGCATGCTCCAAGCATGCTCCAAGCATATCACACACTACCGGACTCCCTCACCATGTTAACATCTCGTGCTTACAGGGAGCAAAATATTATGCACAGTTGTTGTCACCTAGTATTGTATCCATCAGTCGAGTCTGCTTGCACGCAGAGCACGACGACTAGAGGCCAGCATGCTGAAGTGACACTCACTGATGGAAGCAGAATATTATGCGCCGTTGACACCTCGTATCCATCTGTAGAATCCGCTTGCATGTAGAGCACGACCATGTAGAGCGCAATGAAGCAGAGGAACGACACCAGGTTCTTGTAGTCATCTAACCGTTTATCTGCCGCTTTCACCTTGAAATAAATATCTGGGGGGATAGGGGAGGAGGGGAAAGCGAACTTGAGGCAGCTTTCATATATGTAGAGCACCACCATGTAGAGCGCAATGAAGCAGAGGGGCGTCACCGGGTTCTTGTAGTCGTCCAGCCGCTTGTCCGCCGCCTTCACCTTGAAATAGATGTCTGTGATGTGCAGCAGCAGGGGAGGAGGGACAGGCGAGAAGGGGAGAGAGAGGGGAGGAGGGGAGAGAGAGGGCAGAGAGCGGGGAGGAGGGAGAAGGGAGGTGTGCTTGCATGTAGAGAGCGATGAAGCAGAGGAACGACACCAGGTTTTTGTAGACGTCCGGCCGCTTGTCCACAGCGTTAACCATGAAATATATGTCTGGTGGGACAGCGGGAGTGGGGAAAGCGAGGGCAGGAAGGGAGGGGCAAAGGGGAAGCCTTTTTAGAATTCTAAGAATTTTCCCACACTGAACAGAACTCGCCCAGTCCCCCCAATGCCTTATCATTTAGCATCAGTTTATCAACTATGATTCACCCCAATTCCCCCACCACCCACCTTCCAGCACGACAGCGTCGAGCTGCTCCTCGTCCTCCTCCTCGTCGCTCGCCCAGTCCTCCCAGTGCACCGCCATGGGCTGCCGCGCCGGCCGGCTGCTCCCCCCCCCAGCGCCGCTGCTCCTGCCGGTGGTCTGCTGCCCCGTGGTGCCCACGTCTTCAGCAGTGGGCACCTTGAAGGTGCCGTCTGGGAGGAGGATGTGAGTGTGCTTGCCCATGGGGACCTCCTGAGACGGGTCGTACTCTGTAGGGGGCGCGGCTTTTTCTGGTGTGGCTGAAGACGACGAGAGAGGGACGACCAATGAGGCGTGGCCGGACCTGCACGGGAGGTTCGAGAGGGAGAGGCGGGGGGTAGTGAGGGGCGTGAGTTACTATCAATTGCTGCTGCCCGGCGGTGCCTGCGTCGTCCGCTGTGGGCACCTTGAAGGTGCCGTCTGGGAGGAGGATGTGAGTGTGCTTGCCCATGGGGACTCCTGAGATGGGTCGTACCCTGTAGGGGGCGGTGCGGCTTTGCCTGGAGTGGCTGCAGAGAGAGGGGCAACGACTGAGGACCTGAACAGGAGGGTTAAGACGGAGGGGAGGAGGGGAGGAGGGGAGGAGGGGAGGAGGGGAGGAGGGGAGGAGGGGAGGAGGGGAGGAGGGGAGGAGGGGAGGAGGGGAGGAGGGGAGGAGGGGAGGAGGGGAGGAGGGGAGGAGGAGGGGGAGGGAAGGAGGGGAGAGAGAAAGAGGGGAGGGAATGTGCGTGTGCTGCTAGGGACCCCTTGAGATGAGTAGCTCTCTGCAGGGGGTGCAGCTTGGCATGGACTGGGTGGTGAAGCAGCGGAGAGAGGGACAAGCGTTGAGGCATGGCCGGACCTGCACGGGAGGTTCGGGAGGGATGTTGTGGGAGATGACGACGATGAGTGGTGGATTGGGGACGCGAAACTGTCTGGGAAGAAACCCTCCAGTATTAGGGTGAGTATGTCAACGTCACTTCTCCACTTCCTACTACTCCTGTTCCCCACGTTTCCCACCGTTCCCCACCTTTCCCAACCCCCCCTTCCCCCACGCTACTTCCAATTCCCACGGCACTTCCGTCCCCCTTCTGACCCTGTTCTCTCCGTTGCTTCCCTTACGTCCCCTCATACTCACCTCTCGCGGTGACCTTGCTTCACTGCACTCCCAATTCCCACCGCTCTACCCTCCCCCACCCCCCATCCTCCTAACCTTAACCATAGTTTTCCTCGCCTCCCCTCATTCTCCCCACCTTTTTGACACACTCGCCGAGTCCCGCCCCACTCGGCTCCCAGTCCTCGTGACGCTTCCCTCGTCCTTCTGACCTTAGTCGCTTCCATATTTCCACTCTCAATCGCCCCTCTCTCTCCCTCACCTCCGCTCAATCTCCCCTCTCTCCCCTCCTTACCTCCCCTTATTCTCCCCACCTTTTCGACACATTTGCCGAGTCTCTCCCCATTATGCTCCCAGTCCCCACGGCGCTCCCCTCCCCTCCTCCTCCTCCTCCTCCTCCTCCTCCTAACCTTGATCTCTCCGTTGTTCCCCTCACCTCCTCGTCTCGTTTCCCCACCTGTTTGACACATTCGCCTAGTCTCGCCCCGCTCTACTCCCAATCCCCACGGCGCTCCCTTCCTCCTTCTGATCTGAATCACTTTAGTCTATCCCCTCTCAATCCGCTCTCTCTCTCCTCCTCACCTCCTCGTCTCTTTCCCCACCTTTTCGACACATTCGCCGAGTCTCGCCCCGCCTTGCTCCCGGTCCCCACGGCGCTTCCTTCCTCCTTCTCCTTCTGCCCCCCCCCCCAGATCGCCACCGCCGCAGACACCGATGGAACCGCCGCCGCAGCCGCCACCACCGCCGCGTCCCTCTCCTTATGAGAACCCGCTTTGCCAGCTCGCTCGAATCCGTTGGGCGTTGCGCTCCGATCTGTTCCCCTCTCCGTTCCCCTCTCGCCGCCCGACACGCCGCTTCTAATTGAAGTTTCAAATCCCGACACGCCACTTCGCTCTGTCCCCGTGCCTAGCGGCGGCGTTAGCGGCCGCGACCGATTCATAACCAGCTCTCCGCTCCGCCCGACTGGCATTTCCCCGCTCCGCTCAACCAGAGGCTCCTGCTGCTCCGGCTCCCCGCGCGAGCCCCCCCCTCCGCGCTTGAACGACACGCGCGCGCGCACGCTTTCCCGCCACACCGCGTTCTTCTCCTCCACGCTCATCCGCCTCCTGTCCCCGTGCCCCCCGCCGTGCCCCCCGCCGTGAGCGCCGCCGCCGCCGGCGTCGCCGTCGTGCATCCTGAGCGGCTCGAAGCTGAGGCTGGATCGACGGCTGCGATTGCCGATGTCTGACGTGTCAGCATCGTCGCCGAAGAGGAAGTCCTCGAGATCGCCGTCCACCACGCGGTTGCTGCCGCCTCGCTGGCGAATCACAGCCGCTACTACTTCCGCCATTCCAGCAAGATATGTTCCTTCCTCCTATTCCGGATCGTTCCGGCTTCCTAGTAATCTCTCCACACGTCACTCTCACGAAAACTAGTATCAACGCCGTGGGTGCTACTACTTCGTCTGAGCAGCCGCTTTATCCAACCCTAGTACATCTGATCAGCTGCCTCCAGCCTCTCTCTCATGCGCTGTCAGGATCTCGTGCTCTCTAAACTCCAATTCTAAATCCTGACTCCAACGGAAAGACCACCTTCGTCTCTCTGATTGATCCCCTGCTCTTTCCGCCGCTGCCTCCCTAACCAGTGATTGCCAAAACGATTGCTTCCCTTGCTTCCGGCTCCAAGCGATTAACTCTCGAGGTGGCTGGTTAACAATCTCCTGCTGCAAAGGCCGCCTTAAATTAAGCGATAAGTAAAGCGAAGGTCATTTGTAATATTGACACCATGGTATGGTATGGCTTGACAATAAAGTCGATGTGCCCGTGAAACGCGTGCGATGCCGGATGCTGATAAACGCGTGCACGACAGTTACTGATCGCGTTCGAGCCACCCAGAAGTAAGAGCCAGTAACGGCCTCAGGTGCATTGCAATGGGTGACAGACGGAGCTCTCCTACTAAGTATCCGCACAACGTCAAGTAGTGGCTCATGTAAGCTCAGGTAATACTCGGCTACCACGGCGTAGTTGTAGCTGGTATGCCTCTAGTAGCAGCATGCACTACTGAGTCCCAGTGCAATGTCACCATCACAACTCTGGAGCAGCCTAAGAGTACTGTGGTACGGCGTCTGACGTAAGTCACGCTTGAGTTGAGCAGCACTGTACACTTGGGGAGAAACAGAATCACATCCCTCCCTGATGGTCCCCT